GGAACCCCTCATGAAGGCCCAGAGTTGGCCCAGGGCCCTGACTCGATAGATAGATGGGCAGGCAGATAGATAGAGAGATCGGTAGATAGATAGGTAGAGAGAGAGAGAGAGAGAGATCGGTAGATAGATAGGTACAGAGAGAGAGAGAGAGAGAGAGAGAGAGAGAGAGAGAGAGAGAGAGAGAGAGAGAGAGAGAGAGAGAGAGAGAGAGAGAGAGAGAGAGAGAGAGAGAGAGGAGAGAGAGAGAGAGAGAGAGCGAGAGAGAAAGAGACACAGAGATAGATAGATAGATATACTCGTGCTGAGCCTCCTGAAGCTTGGAGGGTCAGAGAACTTAGTTCGCATATAGTTGTAAGCACCAAGGATCCCATTCAGGGCACATCTACTTATTCTAGACCCACGAGTAACCTGGGAATAAAAGGGTGCCCTTTTCTGTTCAAAGGAGCTTATATATAAGGGACCTGAAGCCTAACAACGGCAAGCCAATGAGGACGATGGCGACCAGGTCCGTTTGCAAGTAGGGCGATGGTCCACGACTTGCTGCAAGTCATGTCGCAGCATGACCTGTGCATCTCGCACCTCCTGCTTCTTGGCTTCTTCGAGCTTTCGGGCAGCCTCTGGGTCAGTTTCCTGAGCCAGAGCCTCGATCAGTTTCCTCTTCTTTCCACCGTTGGCATGCAGGGTCGCCAGCAAGCTTGTATAGGCCTTGCCCTTCTCGCCTGTTTTGGCAACGGAGGTCGTCTTGGTCGAGAGCTCGTCGATTTTGGTGTCTGCAGGCCGGTGGTCTCTTTATCTTTTCCTGATACTGCCTAACATAGCCCTAATAAGGATCCCTATATACAGCCCCTTGAAACAGAAGCCCCAAGCAAAGAGACCACCGACCGACACGAGGTTTAGGGTTTCGTCCTTCTTGGGCTCCCCGGACTGGTCCTTCTTTGTCGCAGGACTGATCCTTCTTTGGCGCAGCAGGCTTAGGCTTCCCACCCAGAGAGCCCAATATCCCTAAATTAAGGAATATAGCTTAAATCATAATATGAAGCCCTACAAAATTTAAGCCATATTCCTTGATTAAGGGGTATTGCTTCTTGGGAGCGGCGGGCTTGGGCTCCCCAGACTGCTTTATCTTTTCGGGAACCCGGGCTGAACCTAAACTCAACCGAGCTCACAAGTGCCTGATGTTAAGCCTTACTTGCTTGCGGATCATGGGACTTAGCAAGGTTATAAGTGCCTTAATCGGAGATATAAGTAGTTATAAGCCCTATTATGGACTCTTACTATATGGGGGCAGTACCTAACTAAGAAGCCATAAACAGGAACCTCAAAAAGATGGGCCCAGGTAGGCGATTTTTGGACTAGAGGTAAAGACCAACCTTAACACGTGGTTCCCAGGTCAGCCCTTGTCCGTGCAGGATGTTCCCTAGTTACCGACTCCATAGTAGTTCCTTTTTGTCGTTTAAATTTAGGATCGTATAAGGAATTAATTAGGGTCCAGGGCTACAGGGTTTAGGGTGTTCAAAAAAGAACTACTATGAAGCGTCTAGGTAGAGCCTTTCTAGCAGAATGCAAGGACGACATTGCCCGCAGCAACATCTCACCCCGAGACGCCCCAGGCTCTACATACAACCTACTTACCAGGGTCCCATACTTGGAGGTTCACGGGTAGTTATAAGTGGGGATATAAGTAGGGTAATTATGCTTGTAACTCATGTTGGGGGACTTATATCCCTACTTATAACTACCCATGAACCCCCAAGAAAGCCCTGAAGTAAGAACCCTAAACCCTAAACCCTAAACCCTAAACACTGAACCAATCAACCCCGAAACCCTACGCTCTCAATTCTCAACCCTTATAGGTTTAGGGTTTAGGGTTTAGGGTTTAGGGTTTGGGGTTTAGGGTTACTCTAACCCCTAAACCCTTCAAGCAAGAACTTTAATCAAACCCTGAACTCTGATCCCCCTGACCACTAAACCCTCAACCCTAAACCCTGAACTCCTAAAGCCTAAACTCTAAGCCCCTAAACTCAAGACCCCTAAACCCTGAACTCCTAAACATCAAGAGCTGCAGGAACCTTCTCTGTTCAGCCCCGGACCGCATAACGGCCAGCGGAACGTGCGACCAGGTTCTCGCACGCCTTGCGCAGACTGAACCACAAGGGTGGTGGGTTTAGGATTTAAGGTTTAGGGATACGATTTAGGGAGCGATTTTTGAAGTGTTGTTTAAGTTTTTCGGGGCTTATTAGGGTTTAGGGCTTTGTGGGTTTAGGCTTGATGGCTTAGGGTTTTGTGCAGGTTTTCGTGTTTAGTGAGGATTTCAGGTTTGTAAGCAAAATGGCACTGGAACTTCAGGAAGTCATGGTCCATTATGACTACTACCTTAAGTATAGTTGCTCTTTCCATAGGCGACTGGGCTTAGAGGGTACGTAGCCCAAGAATCTCTCCAAAGTCAGCAGACTACATACCTGGACTAAACCCCTAAACCCTGAACTATATGATGGCCTAAACAGGTTCCTTATCTAGGCCGTTCAGTAACCCACTGGCAAAAAGTACATACTTTTTTAGTCTTATCTTATAATAGGAACCCAGAAACCTGCAAGTAAAAAGTGTGCCACGGAACAGCGTGGTTATTATAGTTGAAATAAAATGGGCCCAAAGACCCTATTCTAATTATTAAGGCCCGAATTTTACTAGCAGACTTGTGGATTACCTGTGTTTGGTACTGACCTAAGACGTCAAGGCAAGCAACAACAAGGCGGCCTTGGCATCGCTTACTTGAAGGATTATGGGACATCATAACTGGAGCTATAGACAAGGGAAGCATACCTACAACAACTTATAACCGCAGCCAAGGTACCAGGAGCCTTACTTCCTACTGCTGATGGACAAAATCCTGCATGACCCTTAGGACTCTAAACTATGGGAATTATGGCATATTCCTTATAATGGGTAATGCAGGATTTTGTCCATCAACAGTAAGTCCCATGATCCTCCCTGGGCATGAGTTTTAGTTTCAAGATTCAGGGCCAGGACTCCTTTATGGAACCATACATGAAGCCCACTAAAGACTGCAAACAATCTTTGAAAGCCCCATAATTAGCACATGATTCGTTATAAGCCACATCAACATCCTACGCAACCTTATAAGATCCATTCTAAGCTGCTGTAACATCCCCAGTAAGGTTTTGTGTATTGGTTCAGCAGATCAAATTATTTAGCAGTTTCTATATTCTGCTTTTCAGTCTCTGCTTCAGGGCCTCTGTTTTATGTGTTTTTGGAGGGTGGGGGGTAAGAGTTAAGGCTCACACCCTCTCCAATGTCCCTTTTCAGTCTTTGCGGAGCGAGGGTTTTGTACGAATGCAAAGACTACAGTTGGAAATAACTCGCGGGGTCTCACCTGGATTCTCGTACTTACAAATCATTACAAGTCAAATGTACGAGTAGGGAACTTACAAGTCTGTGCCGAGGAATGCTCAGTGACGATATAAGTGTTGAAAGGGTCTGAATGCCGAAAAGACAGATATTGCAACGAAAACTCGGCATGCTGTTCCCTTTATCCAGGGAGGCCCGAGCAGAAGACAAAAGCGAGAGCACGGTGAGTGCTCAGAGGAAGGAGCGCGAAGCGCCAGGCAGCCCAAGCTGCCCCGAAAGATGGCTGCTCCACAGCCACATGCAGTTGCTGCCCTGCCAGGGAGGGCGGAGAGGGTGAGCAGAGAGCAGCGACTGGAGGAAAAGGTTCTGTTTCGGGGTTTGCCTTAAACTACGTGATACGAAGAACAAAGGCTCACACCCTCTCCAATGTCCCTTTTCAGTCTTTGCGGAGCGAGGGTTTTGTACGAATGCAAAGACTACAGTTGGAAATAACTCGCGGGGTCTCACCTGGATTCTCGTACTTACAAATCATTACAAGTCAAATGTACGAGTAGGGAACTTACAAGTCTGTGCCGAGGAATGCTCAGTGACGATATAAGTGTTGAAAGGGTCTGAATGCCGAAAAGACAGATATTGCAACGAAAACTCGGCATGCTGTTCCCTTTATCCACGTCCCCTTGAAATCATCCCATGATCAAGTCGCTGCTGATCGAGATATGTCGAAAGATACTGCTTCAAAGGTGGCTTGTGCACGTCAATGTGCATGGACGCAAGCTGTGCCAGCCCATCGTTGATATAAATGCGAACCGTTCTGTCAGAGGCCCATCTGCCCATGAGTTTGACATAATCCAAAGAGAACCGCTTGCGGAAGTACATGGTTGCGCCCCCGCGGCGAAGGCTGTAGGGCCTGAACGCCCATTCATCCAACTTCAAAGCCTCCAAAGCTTTGTCGAAAGACTGCCGAAAGTGGTATTCTGATGGGACCAGCAGGTCTGTGGAGTTAGAACGCTCCTTCCACCGCTTCAAACGGATGCAAACGGACTTCACTTGAAAAGTGACCGAATCACTTGCGCCAGACCGCTGGGAGGTCTTTGTTGCGCCCAAGTTAAACACGGCACAATCATGTGTGGGGGAAATGTCAACATGACGCGCTTGCAAGCCCAAAAGCTCGCCAGTCCTGAGCACACCATAAAAGGCAACCTCCAGAGCTAAAGCGAGATTTGGCATTTTGCGGCAAAGAAAGTACCCACACAATACCTGCAACACTTGTTCAGGCAGCGGCGGGGCACGTTGGGGCACCTCACGTCGTTGCCATGTTTTTACAAGCCGCCACGAGGACTGCAGGGTACCTTTCAAGTTTGGGCGAAGATCTTGAAGCCCTGACAAACCATCAGTTGCCAAGGAGAGGCCTTCACCCTCCTCCCACAGATGTTCAATATACTCCGAGAACAAGGAGTCAAGGTGACATGAGTTATCAGGTATGCGTTTTCGGCGCACCTGACAGAAAAGATAAAATGCACGTAGTGCTGAATCGTATCTTTGGCGTGTCCTGGGTGAAACTGTGTTGGCTCTCAAACTGCCCAAATCTTTTCGGGCCGCTTTCCGTTCGCGCTGCGTACGCCCTGCCAGGATGGTCACTTTAACCATTTCTTGCGGACTCGAGCTCTCCGGCTCGGCCGATCGGCCGGGTTTGTGTCTGTTGAAACGTACGCGACGAACGGATGGAGCCCGGTAGCAAGAAGAAGAGACGACACGCGATACAAAAGACTTTGAAGCTTTCTGGAGCTTGAACGCCCCCGCCGTAAAAGGTGCAAGCAAACCATAGAGTCTGTCAAATGCAGACAACGAATTCGAGTTTCATGTCGGCGGAGTACCCGCCACCGTAACGAGGTGTACAAGGCCCGTAGTTCGAGCTTGTTGATGTGGTCGTGCGGCGCATCGGGCCACTTCCAGCCGCATATCTCCTGCCACACCCAAAGCCCAGCAGGGATACTGTTGCGATATTTTTGCTGGACCCTGGCATCGGCAGAGATTTGCAACATTACGTCCTCCCCTTTAGCAGACATCAGCGTCATGAGCTTTTGTGCCAACGCCTCAGCACACGGAGAATCACTTCGGTAAACCCGTCCCAGACTGTGCCACGAAAGTAGGCAATCCCCTTGAAGAGGTAGGTCACGGTACAGGGTCGCCAGGAGGGCATCCAGCGTCCGAACCAAACACAACTCCAGCGGAGCCAGCACATGAATCAAGAGAAACCCAATAACAGCAACGTTCCACGAATTCCCTAGGAGGGATAAGCGAATATTGTCATGAACGGTTTTGTTTTGTTTGGCTTCTCCTTTCGGCATACTGTTGAGGGTATAGCCGACTGGGTACCCCATGGCTCGTTCGCGTTCGGAAGCGGAAGCTGGCCTTGGGGGATGCTTCGTGTGCCAGAGAAGATTGCGGTCTTGATATTGGTAGGGCGGGAAGCGATGGCGGTCGGCCGTCCATCGGGCCAACTCCTCGGAATTGCAACGTTCTAGGCCCGCAGGTTTCACCCTAGGCTGGTCAGAGGACTGCGCAGAGGTGAAGGTATGAAACTTGTCAGTGCTGTGATGAAATTGCCACCCTGGTTCCAACACACCTTTGGCATCCAACTCAACATGGAAGTGCACCTCCCCGTAGCTGGATGAGTGAGAGTTCGAAGGAGGGTACAGTCGTACTTGGTCTGATCCTGTCAACCCCCAGTCAAACCAGTAAAGACGATCACGGCGACAAGGTGAAATGCCCGAGGCGGGAATCATGTAAGGAAGGACTCCAGCTTGCAAGGTTAGCGCCGAACGGTCATCGGGACTCATGCTGAAGACGCTCTCTTGAAGAAAATGAACTGCAGCCCAAGGGAAAGCTTCCTTCAACATCTCAACCACCGGCAATACAAGCTTATGCAAAGGCCCGCGTGGGGGTCCAGCTCCAACTAACACAAGCCTTGCGTTGGTCGCCCTTCCAGCCCATTCACGGCACTTCTGTGGAGTGATCTGCTCCACCTCATCTAAGAAATGGACTTTCGGAAAGGCTGTTTCCACAACTCGACGGGCGTGAACATCCGACTCGACGGAAATGTGCAAACAAACCTGAGCTCGTACTGCTTCCAAGGCGACTCGAAGGCCAGATATGCCGTCAAATAGCCCAACACACACGATCCCCTTTTCTGGAATGTCCAGAGAAGATTCCCCTCGGAAAGGTAAGGAAGCCACGGTAGCACCATAGGTCGACACCGCTTCGGAGGCGCAGACTCCACCCCCCAGCATGGAGGCATCACTGGCGGTCACAAGCCCTGAAACTGACGATCGGAAGTCGAAATGAGCGAGAGGAAGCAGGCTGATGAACATCAGAAGCTCAGATTTGACGGCTCCGGGAATCTGCTGAAATCCGATCTTGCTCTCATCGAAGGATTGGATAAACTGCCAGATGTAGTTCAAAGAAGACATCAATGCCCTTCTGAACATTCCGAAATAAACAAAACCACCAGCCACAATGCGAATTGCCTTCTGAGTACAGCTACCCTTCTTCAGTAACGAAAGTGCAGCGCTGACATATTTGGCCAGTTTGTCGCCTTTTGGACGTCCCATCCCCACAGAACCATCTAAATCCGCCCCTTGCATCTCAGCCATCTGCTTCTGGTGGACAGATTTCTTTGGATTCAGGGGGATACCCGACGCTTGATATGCAGCAATCAATGGGGAGACCTCTGCCGATACCTGACCCTCGAGAAGTGGGATCGCTGCCGGGGATACTTTCTCAAGCACGTCCAAATTGTCAAGATAGACTCTCCAAGTGGGATTTGCCAGGGTGAAAGCCCGATCTTTGCGCAACTCGGAGAAGCCGAGCAACCTCGAAGGCGAACCTTGAACCTTCCTCAGGAAGTTTCGATGTAAATGTTGCGCGATGCCGACACTATTCAAGAAGCCCATGGGGAGGACCTTGGCAGAGAGATAACATCGCTCGGTTACTCCAGGTGGTACCAAATCCGAGGGCACTGGACGGGAGAATGTCAAGTAAGGAAGCCAGGAGGGAGGCAAGGAGAACACGTAGAAAAAGCATCGGACATCTTCACTGGAAATGACCATTTCTTCATGGGGATGCAACTGCAACGCATTCATTTGATGCATCAACGGGAGTGTCCCAACATCGCCCTCCACACTGAGGCAAACAGAATTGAAAGGAACCAAATTCATAATCAATCGATGTACCTCCACGCCGTCATGGACCTCCCCCTTTTCAATACCAAAAAGCCCGTTTTGAATCATGCGTCCACCTGCCTTTGCCACTGCACTTTCTGGAATAATCGACACCAGGTTGTACTCAACAAGGCCGCGTGCTAATTCAGGCCACTCATGCTCATCCACCATAACCCTTGAACTCCTGACCTCATGATCGTTCCAACCCGGGCGCAAGTATCTGTCAGGATGCTGAAGCGCATCAAGCACTCCACCCTCCGCCAACTCAATTGCGGGGATCTTGCCGATGGCACCGTAAGGCAAAGCAGGCTTCAAGTTAGCCCATGTAGTCCACTGAGCTGTGCGGACTTCCTCACCTCCATAACTCAATGTTCGAGTTTGCAAGAACCTGGGCCAATGAAACTCCTCCACACAGAACTCATGCTTGAGAAAAACGTGGACTCGATCCTCTAAGTATTCCAGAATTTGGCTCTGCACTGCGGTAGGAGGGCCAACACAAACGCCCGCATATCTCCCGCCATGGAGATAATTGAGAGCTGACACCACAACATATAGCCACACTTTGTGATTACTCCTCTCCAGTCTGAATCTTGCTATTTCGCTCTTTCTGGGCAGGGGCAGAGGGAACACATCTCTCTTTCTCCGAAGGGTCCCCTCCGCCGTCGTCTCCTCCTCTGCTCCGCAAGATGATGCAACCAGCTCCGAAAACCCACAATCATCACTGCCCAGAATAAACGCTAACAGCAACTCCCCAAGATCACCAGACTTGCATGGCATGTGAACATCGCTCACACTTGCGCAGGAATCCTGCCTTGGAGGCGGAAGTGTCTCCTGCGGAATCCCAGTTGAAGCGCCTGCCAGCGGAGACATATGGCATGGAAGTGAGGCCCCACATTGGGCCCCGGCTTGCCCCCCATTCAATGGGAGGGCTTCGTCGGCTCGACTTTCGGGGCCGATGGACGTTCCCACTTCCCGGCCCCTTTCTTTCCATCTCCTTTCTTCCCCTTCTCGCTCCACTTGCCTTTGCCGTCGCGCTCCCCCCAACCTTTGCCTTTCCCCATGTCCCGTCTGACCTTGTTCTCGTTCCGGAATTCTCTCGTTGCCCCCTGTGCTTCGGCCACTCCGGCCAATCTTTCTTGATCCATGGGAATAAGCTCCAAATTTTGAGCCACCGGCCATGTTGCGCCTCCCACTACGAGTTCTATGGCTTTGACCCTCTGAGTCACAACATCCAATCCCCCCAAGATGTCTCTGGCAATCAGCTTGTCCGCGACGGTGGCCAAAGTCAATAGCTCGCGCTTCTGGCCGGCATTCGCCCCCAACCCCAAAATGTGCTGACGGGTGTATTTCTGGAACAGTGGCAAAATCTTGACTTCGTCCTCTGCACCATACTGTACCAAAATTCGGCTCATCTCGTCCAGGGCTTGCCGGGTTAGTAGACCTGGGTACTTGCGGGCCACTTGGCGCACTCTGTGCCCTTCTCGAAATGGGTGCCCGCTGTCTTGTGAGTCGATTGAAACGCTGCTTGAGCTGCTCTCGCTTCCAGTGTTCATGCTGTTGTTGCTGCTGTTGCTCCTTTTGTCCCTCCTCTTGCTCTTCTTCTTGCGTTTCTTCTTCTTCGTCTTGGAACGCCGGCATAGAATACTTCTGACTGTCTTTGAAGCATCCAGCGGGCCTCCTTTGTAAGATTGACTCCCCGTCTTGCGTAACATCTGATCTTCTCTCTTGGTGCGCTCTGGGCTCTTCTCTTTTGGGAGTTTGTTCATGTGGCTTGGGCCTTGAGCTAGATCGGCGAGCTCTTTTTCGAGGGTTCCTACTCCGTGTGGGGTCTCTTTGGGAAGACTGTCGATGTTCAATGCCCATGGTGCAGCTGCGTCCTCTCGAACGACCGTGAGGCCGTGGATGCCTCCTTGCGACAGTCCGAGCTTGGGGCAGTCTACGGGGCAGAGGTGTACGGTTACTTCTGGAGGGTAACCGCTCGAGTGGCATGATTCGGCCCATGTCTTCAAATCGATGTTGTCTGTCCCCCTTAACAATACGGTAGCTGTATAGCCACCTTTCCCCAAAGTGATGTATTCAAGGCGTCCAGAGACCTTGCACGGTCGCCCCCAATAATCACCACCGAATTGGTAGACCTCACCAAACTGCCAGAAACTCAGAGGTAGAACGGCAATCGTCTGCTCTTTGCCTAACTCGAACTTGCCCTGATAATCCACAAACTTCCGCACTCTCTTAGCACCTCCTAAGGAAGGAGACGCCTTGAGAGGAAGAGTAGTTCGACGAGCACTAGGTCGCCTAAGAATGCCTCGAACTCGTGGGGCCATAAACAACTTGAAAGAAGCTGATGACGAACACTCCCTTGTCCTTCACTCCCAATCTGTGTCTCCACTGCCGTCTGGGCAATGCTCTGCAGTTAAGTCAATCGCGGGGTTGTTGCGTACCACTTGAAGATCAACTTTTGCTTGCTGCGAAACACGTTGCACTCTTCCCCTGTCCGCCTTCTTGCAGCCCGCGTCGATCGAATCCAGTGATAGATTCAGCAGCAAGCTCAGCCGCCACGGCCGCTGACTTATGGCGAGGCAGTGGTCGCAGTGATGGCTCGAGGATGTTCCTAGACTTGGAAGAAATATTACATGCACGATGCTGCGGCCTGGTGGCGCTCTGAAATAAAGAAGCTTTGACTGCAATAAGCTAGGTAGGCTCTCGTTATGCTGCCCTGAAGTTCGCCAAGATCTGCACCCCCACATGCGCCTGAGCAGAGAGCAGCGACTGGAGGAAAAGGTTCTGTTTCGGGGTTTGCCTTAAACTACGTGATACGAAGAACATGGCTGTCTAGGGTCGGGAAATTGAAGTGGAGCTGGAAGTTTCTAATCTTCAGGTTTAAGGGTCTATGGGGTAGATCCCCTAATTTGGGGCCCCTATACGACTAAGGGTACTTGATAGGAACCCCATTAAGGGATCTACTTTTTGGATCCTCCCGGGGGTCTGGCTGTCTTTGGGGCTCACCGGTTCAAGTCCCTGCAGCTGCCTGAAGGCCCTTCAGCACTGCTGCATGCGCGAAGCCTGCAACATCAAGTGTGGAAGCTTTAGGGTTTAGGGGGTTTAGGGCTTTAGGGGTTTAGGGCTTTAGGGGTTTAGGGTTTAGGGGTTTAGGGGTCTTAGGGGTTTAGGGCTTTAGGGGTTTAGGGGTTTAGGGGTTTAGGGGTTTAGGGCTTTAGGGGTTTAGGGCTTTAGGGGTTTAGGGGTTTAGGGGTTTAGGGGTTTAGGGGTTTGGGTTTAGGCTAAAGGGTTCTGTGCTCAATAGGCGCAAGGCTTAGAGTGTGTGTGAGCTGGGTTGAGTAGATTCGTCATGAATTCTCCCGAAGCTCCAAACATCTTCAGGACCTGGCTCTCAAAAGGATCCTCATCCTCATCAAAATCATGATCATGGTTATCATCACCACCGATCATCCGCATCAGAATCGGCAGCGGCACGTGCATCATCACCGCCACTCGCCATCACCATCAGCATCTCCTTTGGGCATCGGCATTCCGAACAAGCCGCGAACACTTCCATTAGAATATTTAGAATGCACCCTTCTCCCCGCAAGCTCGCTTAGTGCAAAGACCATTAATAAGGGCAACGGCAGGCTTGTTTCAGGGGTGCTTGTCTTGTATCCTTGGGAACTAAAGGTTAACCCTTGGGTGTATGTGTATATATGTGTGTATATATATATATATATATATAGCGGGAGTGTATAGGGACTGCAGCACCCCAAACAGGTTAAAGCTTACCTACTTTACTACTGGTTTACAGGGAAGCAGCAGTGCAATCCGAATCCTACAACACAATACAAACTCCAAGCCCAGCCTTGCACCATTCACCCAGAACTTCCGGACACACGACTCGAAACTCACAGTCGGACTCTCAACACTCCAAAGCCGCAAACCAATTGATGATCTCGAAGACCAACCATAACTGATACCTATGCCGTAATATAGGGACCTTCATCATCAGAGTCATGGAAAAACTACGACCTCGAAACCAAAGTACCTACTGGCTTGGGAACTTTAACACTCAACCCTAAATCCCAAACCGCTTAAACCCTAAACTTCAAACAACCCTATACAAGCCCTAAACCCCAAACCACCTGAACCCTAAGCCTTAAAACAAGCCCGTATAGGAGTTTCCGAAAATTAGCGGTACCTTATTTTGGGGCCCTTATAATAAAACTCCTAACATTTAGGGTCCTATATTAGGGTCCCCTCTTTTCGGAAACCCCCGTATATCCTAAACCCTAAACCCTAAACCCTGAAGCGTTGCCAGGAAGCCTCGCCCGTCCACCTCACGGCCGTCCACGGACGCGGACTTCACCTCAAGCAGGTGTTAGGGCCCCCAAAGAGCACCTAAGCAAAAATGAGGAGAGTGATATCCCATGTAACTCCCCTTCTAATGAAGCCCGTTAAACTAGGGATATCCCTATAAAATGTTCATGCTTATGTGCTTCGTTGGGCCCCTCAGGTGTAGGGTTGAGGGTTTATGTTGGTTTAGGGCTTCGGGTTTTGGGGTTCAAGGTTTCGGTTTAGGGTTTCGGATAAACTCTTCGAGTTGGACACTCACCGTAAAAATCAACAATTTAATGTTCTTCTTCTTTGCTGTTCAAGGCCTGTCAAACGCAGGGCTAGGGTTTAGGTTTAAGGCTTCGCATGTGGATAACCGACCCAGATGAGCGACGAACACGATCTTTTCTAATGAGAGCCGCTGAAACCAATTGCATTGCGATCTAGAGAAATTACGCCCTTCAACCCCGAAACACCCAAACCCTGCCCTTGAACGTCCACAACCTAATTCTAGATTTCTCACACTTGCTAGCCCGAGCAGCAGATTTCAGGACGCCGACATTCTGCAATGGCTGCCTGCAAGCATAAGAAAGCCAGACATTTGTTTAGGTTCTGATGCCCTCAACCCTGAACCCCCTAAACCCTAAACACTAGCTTTCATTGAATCTACGGAATCTTGCTGAATTTTGGATTCTCCGTTCGGTGGGTGCAACCCTGCCGGTGCATACTCAAGGTCTTAAAGGTCATAAGGGTGGTTAGTGGTTGTCAAAATTATGGTCCCTTTTTGGATCTTTTTGTTAATACCCCAGCTAATATCTAGGGTGCCCAACAAGGGACCCTAATTTTGACAACTGCCCATGAGGAATCGCCTTGAAGCTTGGGATGACTTCGTAAACCACCTTTGAAGCTTAGGAAACCTGGGCGTAGAGGGTGCCTAGCCTTCGCGCTCTAGAGACGCATAGCTTCAATTTAGAAGACAAGCTGGAGACTTCTCCGGGCGACACTGCGCGATGAAAATGGCTTCTCATTGCGAGGGCCACGGGAAACTTTCGATTGGATGCTGCTCGCAAGCAGCTCTATACTCCATAAGCCCGAGTTCACGCACAGAAACTGGCGAACTAAATAAAGCAGGGTTTAGGGTTACTTCAAGGCAGCTGGGGGATTGTCACTCATTATTTCGCCTTACGATACGGGAATGCAAGGACTTTCTTCAAAAGGTGACAGTGACGTGACTCCATGCCGACCCTAAACACGAAACCCAAACCTTCTACCACTGATGTTTTGCCATGGGCACATCGGCACGTAAGTTTACGAGCAGCAAAACTGCCCCGAACTCTGAACACTGGGCTTATAATGATTAGAATAGGGTTTCGGGATATAATTTAGCAAATTTATCGGCAAATATTCCAGACTCCATATTACGTTTAGGGTTGCTGTGGGCTGCCGGATATACGTCATAGAATCTCTAGAACAAGCCAATGTGAACTCGCAGAATAGTAGGTTACCTGCAGGGCGGGACCCTAAACCTAAATCCCTAAACTTCTATAAACCGCCTAAACCCTAAGCCTCTAAACCCGAAACCCCTAAACTCCCTAAGCCCCTCAACCCCAAAACATCCCTAAACCCTTTTCGATCCCAAGTCTTTGCTGGCCGAGGTGCGTTCCAGAGTTCACCACTTCCTGGGCAGGGCGCTGAGGCATTTACGGTCTCTGGGCACCGTTACCCAGGCCTCCGGGAGGATCTAGAAAGTAGATCCCCTAATTTGGGGCCCTATACTACTAAGGGTACTTTATAGGAACCACCATTAAGGGATCTACTTTTTGCATCCTCCCGGTGAGGCATTTAGGGCCGCTGGTATCATGGGAGGCTCCAGCGGTTTGCCTTTAGTCTCCATCGTAGTTCCTTGTTTGGTTAACCAGAAACTATAATATAGGATCTTAACCATAAATAAACTGGCTAACCAAAAAAAGAACTACAATGGAGACTATAGGTAGGGCCTAAGGCCTAGAGTTTAGGGTTATCCCAGAAGGCTCCTTGAATGGACCCTAGGCTTCTGTGAATGCCTCTCGAAATAACAGTGTCCATGCCGCGTTCTTCATTGAGGGTGCCAGGAGCTGTGTGCTCTTATGTGGGTAGTAATCAACATTGGGGTCCCTTTTTGGTACGCTAAATAATAGGTGCCGTATTATAATAGTAGGGACCCAAAGTGTAAGGGTTGTGGGATGTAGGAATCCCTGAGGCAAAGGGCACCGATGTAACTTTTAGAGCTGAAGGTCAGAGACGGAGAAAACCCTTAAACCCACAACCCCAAATCCTCAGCCCCTAAACCCTAAACCTAAAACCCTAAACCCCTAAACCTAAAACCCTAAACCCCGAAACCCTGAAGCATAAAACAAACAACTCTGTACTATTACTATAGGCTTACCTCAACTCCAACCCTCAAGGTTCAAACCTTTTAACAACCATCAGCCCTGGGGTTTATGATTACCCTAAGGGCCCAAGTAGTCTTTATTTATGGTTTTTCGTACCGAATACGGCCCTAAAGTCCTATAACAGGGAGTACTTGGACAAGCCCAAGCGCCTACGTAGACTTTCAAGCTCTGCCCCAGCTCTCGACTGCTGAAAACCGACTCCAGTAGCCTTATCCGTTCAACCGGTTTGCAACAAACCAAATCCTAGAC